TTATTATTTTATATTTTAAAGATCGAAAAGTTCTCATCTCAATAGTAATATTGAAAAGTACGAATAAAATAATATATCAGATAAAAATAATTTAGAATAATCTTTAAATTGTTGAAATTAATTAAGTCTATTCCTAAAGAATAAATCTATATATCGCGTTAAGATTAAAGAGAAGTTCCGTTTGATAAAATTTTTTTTATAGTCTTTCAATATTAAATCCTTTGAATTTACTTTCTTATTTATCTCTTGCGCCTATTATTATATATATATATTTATAGTATATTCTATATACACGCTTGTACCTTCTTGTAGACAAGGTAATTAGGGGTGTCTTCGGCGCAAGAGGCAGTGACGTTGTAGGTGGGGGTGTTGGGAGATAAATCCGGAGACTCGTTCATACGAACGTCCTCGTTCTTTTTATCCGTTTCTTCGACATGTTCGGACGTCTTTTTGCCGCTACCGCTACTGCTGCTGCTCTTCTCCACTGGTTTTCGGCGGCAAGCCGATTTTTCGGAGTTCATAGTTACCATATCCACCCTACGAGAGATACAACGTTCCTGCACAATTGAACATAAAGAAAGAGATAAGAGAGAGAAAGGAAGAGAAACATAGAGTTTTAATAAATATAAAGTAAATAAAACGTGACTAATTAAAGTGCAATCGATCAATTATTGAAATATTTCATTTTATACTAAATCTGGCGTTTTTCTTTTTACTGCAAATTTAATAAGAGTATTAATTTATTTCTTAAATTAATATTATACATGGCCTTACATTATCGCACACTATGTTTAACGGATAATATCGCTTGCAAAGTACCGCAGTTTTCTTGAGATATATATCTCGATACCCTTGCGCAATTTTTCTCGCGTGAGCAAGGTTTTTGCGACATCGATCCGACGGCTAATTATTTATATAATTACGATACAGAGTATGTGTTCCATAGACTTAACGAATTATTTTTTATGTATAGATTTCTCGACTCTAATTTAAAGAACCAATTTTTCTTTTAACAAAAATATTGAAGGGTCAGCAGTTTTTAAGTTGCCAGTCAATGTTGACCAAAATTGACATGCGAGATGATATTCTATATTTACCCCTTCTAGCTACCCCTTCTCCATGATCACTCGTCCTTCTGTCCGCTCGGGAGGGTGGTAGCTATGGAAGGGGGGTAGCGGTAGGATACCGTCTCTCATCAGTCAATCTTGGATAGCGTTGAATAAAAATACAAATGAACGAAAAGCAAAAAAGCTGAATACGCACAAACTCCACACTCTGACGCTCTCCTCGTTATAAATTGCAATTATTAATAAAATAAAAACATCTGAGAAATCGATACTCCGCTTCTAAATACAGACCTACCTCAATTGTAACACCTTGACCCACCGATCCGTTCTCAAATCGCGCGAAATTCACGCGCCGTCTAGCGCGAGATTTATCGACGCGACCCCCATTGTATGCATAAGCGCCGTAAATTCGCGCGATGTGCTTCTCCGTCGAAATCCGTCCTCTTCTCGATGAATACGATGATGATGAATATCAATGACAGTATTAACAAGTTTACAGCATCTGACTTGGAAGTATCACGCGTGCAATCCTTCCACCAAGCGTCACAGCACAAAGCACTCTTCTCAGAGAACAGCGAACTATCTTCATAGTTGCATCCAGGATTAATCACAGAATCTCCTGCATTCTTTTTGAACGAGCGTTTTCCAAACGTCCAAATTCATCTCTCTTCGCACTTGAAGAAGAGGCAACGCGAGGACACGTTTGGGCGCGAAACGATCGTCCGGATACTTTCCTCGGAGAATGACAGCACGGAAAGAACAGTCGCATCTACTGCTCGATGTGCATATTCGCACCTCCCGATGGTTCGCGTGTTGACCCGAGCGAAGATCAGGTCAAGATAGCTGGAGGTGAAAGCGCGCGCGCGCCTTCATGATCTACGCAGCGGTCTGTGTTTCCTAAGAGGTGCGCGCGTTAAATTGACAGAGCCTCATGCTGAAGCTGCAAGTGCGCAGGTTTCAAATGCCGTTTAGTGCTATCGAGAGCCGAAGGCGAAGATCGAAATCCTATCGTCGAGCGATGACGGGTAACAGTCGATAAATGAAAAGGACGCGGCTGCGCCGAAGCAAAGCGCCGTCTTCTAATACTACAAAGGAAACGCGATTTGTTGAAGTTCTCGAGTTTTAGCTTCTCTATTCAAAGAAATTCATACTATTATACTCTAGAAATAAAAATATATATAAAACAGGAGCAATAATTAACATCTTTTTCAATGGAATAATTTTTATCTACATCTAATTAAAGGATGCAATACCTACATTGATAAAAACTTTACTTTCCCCCACATAAGCAAAAGATTAAATACAACATCTCGTATTAAGATGCATAATTTATTACAAGCAAATAATTCATAATTTCTTTCTTCTCGCAAAACGTTTCTGATAAAACGTTTGTACACTCTTTACTACATTCCATTATTATCGTCGTTCCTTAATCTCGTTTATCTAATTTAGCCGTCAATTGATCTTTCTGAAACACGAAACGGCACAAGATAAATGTAACATCCATAAATATGGTAATATGGTAAACCATAAGTATGTGCATTAATTAAGACATAATGGAACAAGCGAGATTATTACAAAAGCAAATGAATCAAATTATTCAGTAAATTGTAAAAATGAGGACAGAAACTGGGGCAGACACACTACATTTGCTTCTATCTGAGTCAACCTCTTCATGCATCAGTACTGTGATTTGCCAAAGGTGCAGATGATGTTTCAACTATCGATTCAGAGAGTTCCTTGGTGTTACAATTTGTTACACAGTGGACATCTTTTGCCTTATCTTGATCGAGACTTGCAAAGGCTAATATATATAGCAATTTTTTAAGAGAAAGTACTTGTAACGATATTTGACAATACATCAGCGTTGTCTCACAGTGCGCTCTTATCTCCCATTTTATTCCATCAATATACAAAAATAACCTTAAATTTATCAGGGAGAAATTGGCACATTGTATTAAATTTGGACAACGCTGCGATTGAATTTTGATAAATCTAAATGTATTAAGATTGTTCTAAAAAAAAATTCAAATAAAAAATCTAGGCTCTAAATCTATTTCTTAAACCAAGATTTCGCGGGATCGATAGTATTTTAATGATCAGCTATTGAAAATGAAGCAGATTTTTTTTCAACACATTTTCAAGGATAAGAAATAATGTAGACAATCAAGATGTAAGGGAGGGACGATGCAATAGAGAAATTTCTTTGTTGCATCCTACCTCCTTGTTACTACTTAAAGATGTATATGCGTTCTGTGCAAAACTACCAACAGTGGTAGCTACTGCCGAACCTGTGACAATTGTTAAATCTACAAATTCCGAAAAAGATGTCGGTAATTTGAATTTTGGCAACTCTGGCATTGTGATTTCCAGCTCTCGGTTGTCACCCGGCTTGACTGAAATTATTTATAATAAAATATAAACCGTCGATACACGTTTTTACAAATAATTTTTTTTTTATCGACAGTCACTATAATTCATTACGATTCAGTCATTCTGTGCGCAAAATGTTTTATATGTTCCTCCTTTGATTCTTTGAAAACTGATGATCTTATATAATGTATATATTTCTTCATGTTATTTGTTCATCCAGAAATAATCTATTAAAAATATTGTAATGTTTCTATTACCACCATAAACAAAATTGTAGCCGACATTTATGTAATGCTTTGCCGTGTCAAGACCCTCTTCCGCCTTTTTAGGATAACAGATAGCTGCTGTAGCGAGAGCACCTGTGCTAGAATATACCAATCGCTTAAATGTGCGTCCTCGAAGTCCAAGCACTAATCCAGCCAATCCACCGATAGCAATGGCACCCACTCGTGGCATAACATTACTTTCTTCACGAAGATAATCCAAAAGAGCTGCAAAGAAATGGTACTATGTTAGTTATAAATTGTAAATAACTCTATATAACACATGTTTTAAATGCATGCATTTTGATACTAACATCTGCTGTGTTCGACACCAGTGTCAATGGTATCAGAGATCACGCCAGTATAATGTTGATACTCTGACACAACTGCTTGAACAGACTTTCGAATTTTGGATATATTCTGTTCCAAAGCAGAGGGTGAACAATCTGTGCTGTTATATAATATTACGATACATGTTATAAAATATAAAAAGACAGTACAAGTAAAACAACATTTGTTTTGTCATGAAATTAAAATCTTTTTTAACTGTAAGTTCAGTCTCTTGCCTGTGCAAACATAATAGCTATATGTATTGAAATTACTTGTGCTTTACCATGGGGTCTGTTTAGAGTAATCGTCTTCAAAGGGATAAATCGGTAGCTCGGATGGTCGAATTAGTTTCTTGATTCCTGGCTCGTTACCGTAAGGTGACATTTTGCTTTCCGATGGATTTGCTGGTTGTATCACAGGTATCGCACATAACCCGCACGGCATCAAAATTTTCTTGAAAAACTTGACATACAAATATTAAAGTAGCTTATATTTAATATATTATATTAAATATCGCATGCGCGTGACACATATATAAAGAATCTCGATGATTTGTACAGTTACATAATTACCATGGTTTCTCGAGCGCGAAAATTTCTTACATAAATTATCTATTCCATTTTTTTACGCCTCGTTGTAGTACATTGTACAAAAATTCATGAATTTTCATAAACTTAACCAATTTTGCAATTCAACATGTTAGCAGAAAAGGCAGACAGATATAAGATAACTCACAAACGTAATATATTGAGATGCGGTCACATACCTGCCATCTCCCATCACCAAATAATTCTGATCGTACAATAAAATTTTATTGCATATACTATTTTATATAAAAAAAAAAAAAAGATTTATCCCAGAATTCACCCCGAAAAACATTTTTTTATACTTACTTTTTAGAAAGATATCTGTCTTGTGTCATAAAAATATGTATATATTTCTCAAAGATAGAAAATATTTTAAAAAGTACCGCGCAAAAAAGAATCCGTTATCTGCAAACATTTTCGACGCAAACAAAAAACAAAGAAAGCATGATTTTCTTTTCGTCAAACTAACCGTATCGCAGAATTATGAAAATTATTGATATCTAAAAATTTGGAAATATAAAGAATTATTAATATAAAGATTAATCCCTTATATATATTAATCGAAAGTCACATGTTTATGAATATGATAATTCATAAAAGCACATTTTTTTATTTCAAATCACAGAGAGAATTAAGCAAACATTTTAAAAGTTATATAAATTTACATTCGATTTGACATCCTTTAATCTAAAAAAATCATCTTCGTTATTCTAATTCATACTTTAATACCAGTTCTGCCCAGCTCTACCAAAGTACCCGGTTGATAATCGTCGCAACGATGCACAGGTTCTCGACAAGTTATATCTTTACCGAAGACGTTTCCGATAGTAGATTCCAAAATTTTGTGTACAACATTATTCATATCCGTATTTTTCAGAAATATAAAATCTCAATTATTTGAGACATGCAACTCGATGAAATGCTGAAATTCAAATGTCGCGTCGATTGTTTGTATTGTGTCGCCTGTATGTTAAAATTCTGTATACACTTTTGCCTTTTTACTTTTTATTTATATACAATTTACGCTGAATTCAGACTGTTTTTTCGACTATAAAAAATATAACCTAATATAAATATGCGATTGTTTCTTTTCAAATGAAATTCGCGTTTAAGATACTTCAGTCATATGACACTTTATTTGAATTTATTATAACAAATAATATATAGTAATATATTTTTTCTTATGAGTTTGTATTGGCATTAGGTCCACGTCGGCGGCCAAAGGTTTGGACGACGTTGACGAACCTACGGTTATACTGGATGCGTCGCTTAGCACGGCCAGTCTTCTTTTTACTCTTCTCTTGTTTTTCAACCTGATAACACATACACAAATACATACGTTAATATTCTGTAATATTTAAATATAAAATTTTCTTATTTAACAGTCTAATTTGAGATTTCAAAATTTACTTATTTTAGAGCCGTTATTTAACGCATATATAATATATAAACTATGAAATTTATAATATAGTTTAATTTGTAAATAATAATAAAATTAAGTAAATTTTGTATATTAAATAAAGAAAAATCAAAATTCTTCTTACTTTGGGTGTCTGAGCCTTCACTTTGCCAGCACGTGCCAAAGAACCGTGAACCTTACCTATAAGCAAGAAAAAAATATTTAATCATCTTATAATCATATAATCATTAATGTTTTCTTACGTTTTGATGATAATCATGCAATATCAGAAAGATTTAATACATTTTCTCTAAACAAACACATATGTTATAAATATAAGATTTGATAGTTTTGATTATCCAGGTTCAGAATTTCTAAATAATTTTAAATATACACTATATATATATATACATATA